GTACCGTCCTTAAGAGCCTTAATTTGGAATTATTGACTTTTATACACAATTTTACGGTTGCAAAACCAGGTGTCCTCATTATTCTTAAAATTCGAATTTTACGAAACCTGATACCCTTTTTTAGTCCTTTAAGCTGCGTCAGTTTTTTAACTTTCTCTATCTGGCTGGACTAGGAGTGACCGTCCTTTGCACGATTTCCAACTCCCTGATGTCAGGCTGAAGTCTACCGCTCTCGCAGATGGTTTAAGGATTTCGGCAAACAATATTAATTATTAATCCACGCACGTTAATTTAATAATGCGGCATTTGCACTGTTAGCCGATGATTTTAAAGTCACCAGTAATGTTGACCGACATGTCCTTGTAAATTTAAACAAGACATTTTGCGGATTTACGATTTGCGCAGTCCAACGATAACATATGAATCCCCACGTACGTATAATTATTGTTTTATTTTCAAGATATTGGTCATAAAACATGTAACTTCCTTATATCGCAAGAAATACCCGGTTGACTCACTTTTTCTTTATTTGCTTCAGCATTTTGGTATCATGTATAGAAAAAAATATATTTATCAAAGTTACACTATATGTTACATTATAATGTAACATACATTTATGTAAAGGATACATTTGGGTATGTTCTCACATTTGGGTATATTCTCACAGAAGGCAATGCGGAAAGAGACGATAAGGTAAGGCTTCTTGCCGAACTATAATTATAAGTAATTAGCAGCGATCCGACTTCCCACATTACACTTTCTCTAGAAAATGTAATGTGGGAAGTATGATCCCTGGAAAAATACGGTATATATTTCCAGAGTGACCTTTTCGCTTGATAATATGCTTACTACCATTCTGATATTTTCTGCCAGGTTTGGGAATTTTAAGTAAATGAATTCAACATTGGAACTTTTTAATATAGTTTGAGTGTTCTCCAGCTATTTTAGATGTATGTATAAGATTAAAAAGTAGTAAGATTCACAATAATGAGGTTTTTAGTAGGATGTACGAATCCAAGTTCTGAGGAATTGTATTTGTACGTGCTTACCATTTTGATGACAGATTATTCGTCGTGAATTTCAAACTAAACGAAATATTCGCGTTCCTGTCTTTCATTATTCACATAGAACCCAGCTGCACCAGTAATTTCACTACATTTCGCGCAATGAGACCATAACCTCAATATCTCAGCATAATTATCGGCCTGTTTATTAACCCTTTGATACATATATAAGTAAACTCATTTAATTATCAATCTAGAAGCCTTGTAGAGTCATGCATTATTAATTTCCCATAACTATGTAAAACAAAGTGGAAAACGCTCTTCACAGATAGTTATTTATTTTGTAGTTCATCTAAAGATGTCTTTTCAGGAAGATAATGGGCTGTAGCATGTTGGTAGAGTGAAATCTAATTGGGTTTGCTTGATATATATTGTTACGTAACAGCTTTAAATTAACACATGTGTTAAAATTCTGTTTGCGATTGTTATATCCTAGTACAAATTGGTTTCTACTTTCTTCAGTGTACTGACAAGCTAGCGTTACTTTTATATTCTTTAAAAAGATCTAGACATTTGTGGACAAATCTTAGCGTTAAAGTGGTCTTTCATATAAGAGACCTAAGGAATATGTTGTCTTTTACCCTTTTGTAAAACTGTAGAAAAACTGCATGGAAATTTTTACCTGTTAGTCCATTAGTCCTTATCTGGAGTGAGTGGATCTTTCGACCAATGCACTTTAAGTCATCGTTATGATTGTCTATCAATTGGTTCATATGTGAATTGGTTTTTTTAAGCATAGTGTCTCATAAAAATAGTCCGAATGACTGAAAGCAAGCACGGCTTCAATCTTGCATTATCGTTTTGCATAGCTTAATTTACGTGAATTGCAAGGTAAATGAACTAAACTAGTGGTTCCGTTTGCATACTTTAGACCTCAATCTTTCTGATCTCGAAAGTTAAAAACTAGCAGTTTCGTATTTATTGTCACAGATATACGCACTCAAATACTCCTCAATAAGAGAGATTTACCAGAAAAGTCGCCAACTTTTTAAACATTACTGGGATGAGCAAAATTAACGCGTTGGGAGGGATTGCAATAAACAGTGATGGGAGGTTGTGTTAGACAAGGAGAGCTATGAAGGCTATAAAAGCAAGGTACGCATTTTTAAAAATGTTTGAGCGAGCAAGTTGGCATATCCCATTTATTTTTAGCTGAATTTCTGCCCTAATGAACGAGCGTCGAACACTCAAACCGTTATTCATAAGTTGCAAACTCTGTTTATTAATAAAGCCCATAGTTCTTCTTATCAGATTAGTTACGATCAATATCAAAAGGATGTATTCAGATACCCTAACGCCTTTATCGTGCAATGAATTATTGATTAATTATAATGGGTAGTTAAATTTTCTCGGTTTACTTATTTATCATACTGTTGAAGAAGAGAAGAAAATCTTGCTTTATCTGTGAACAAACATCATAAATTTTCAGCGAAAAAATGGTTCTATTCACGGAGGTTAAGTAATGAGTCATGTTAAGAGGTAAAAGTTCACGTAATACTCACAAGTCAAGGTTCACACGGTATCCATGTCTACGATGGAGACAGATCAGATTTCAACTTCTCAATTTCAGCTTCTTTACATGTGAGGTAGCGTGCTAGGAATGGGAGTACCGAGTGCTGATATGCTGATGTGCGGCGAGTCAAATGAATGGAAGCCTCGACGCATAGGACGGGAAGACTTCGCAGTCATTAATGCAGAGTGGAGAGGGTGGTTATCAATATTACCTGTTTTAATGACTAAATTCATAGTTCAACGCTTGTGTGTATGTTATATATACGCAGCAATTAATGCGCCTACCTGACCACGGATCCAAAATTATTCGAATTTTGCTCATCAGGAAAAACGTAAAGTTAACTTGAAGTGATTTTCATTCGTTTGGAAGTATCTAGTGGATACTCTACTGAGGTAGTGCTTATTTTCATTAATAATATTTTTGGTGTCAGAGACGGATAGACTCTAAACTCACTTACATGTTTTTGCCATTAATTTCTCATTAATAGAAGTTACTTGTAAAAGTCTCACCAGTTGGCTTCCTCCTCCTCAATGTTAATTTTAAAATTGCCAGTTGGGATGGCTTTAGTGCAGGCTAAAAGATGCGTACAGTCTACAAATATAGGAGCAACGCTTCAGCCGCTCACAAAGGCAACTTCAACAAATATATCCTTCGTTACATCTTTGTATACAGCAGTAACGACTTATTTGGATCACCTTTGTGGGCCACTAAATTTTAATTTATATTCAAAAACCTTTGCAAAAAGAACTATCCATGAACGTTAGGGGTCAGTACAAAGAACCCAGATTACAGTAACAACCTATAAATTTGTCATTCTGCCGTTAAGGAAGTTTTGCATCTGAAAATAAGCATCCCAAAAATATAATTTGATAGAAAAGTTTTTTGGCACGTTTAAAAATGCGCACTGCCCTTCACACATTTCCTTCACGTCCGAAGACGACCTGGTGTACCAGCGTCGAAAATTTGCAATGCATTTTTGCATCTTTATTGCCAAGACAAGGCAAACATTTTTTAAACAGTGTAATGCAGCTTATCATACCACACATGCTTGGGTTTGCACATAGGCCGGCGCCTTGATGGCTGTCTACATAAACACGAAAAGGCCGTTGAAAAACATGACGCTTTAGAGTCAGGTTTTGTTTCTATGTGCATGCAATTGAGGTCTCTGACCGTCTGGCGTCTCTCATCCGTCGCTTCCAGCATTCATTCATGTTAAGAATACTCTGCTTTGCATTTAAAAGGAAACACCGATCGCAATCCCTCTACCCAAGACCTTCCAGTAATTTTACGAGTGGTTCTTTCAAAAGGTTCTATACTTGTGTCCTTGTGCCAACGTAGTTTTTTCTATTAAAATGCATAATTATAAGAGTTGAAATGACGTCTTAGCTTCAACAGGAATCAGGAAATTTGGACCTACTGATTTTGCACTTAGCGCAAGGGTAAACGTCAAATGATCTGTGGTAGTCAAGCTGAGATAGATTCGACACTACAATGTTTTTTTTCCTGTAGATTTTTAGGCAGGTATCGAAATCGACCTTCTCTAGTCTTTCGAAGACTCCGATTTCGAAGATCTTCACCCTAACACAAGAATCCCTAACACATCGAAGGCCGGACTTTGGTGTCATAGGAGACTTCGAGGTTTCCCACTTTGAGCGCATTTTGGACACACGACTTGAGCAACGGAAATCGGTTTTAACGTCAGAAGATGAAGTGGAGTCGTACAACGTGGATTACGCCGGACAAATTAAAGGTACTCAGGTTTTCTGGTACAGGGAGCATTTGTGACCTATTTTTTAGCATTTAGTGATGACAGGTAGCTAACGAAGCCTTGTATGTAAATAACTTTCTAAAAATCCTTATACGAGGAAATTGTAGAAAAACTTTAATTTAGTTTAAAACTAACTCCATTATTAAATTAATCTGCCTAATTATATTTAGACTTGAAATGCCACAGGACATTTTTCCAAGATAATGGATTAGATTATGCTAAAAAGCCCGCTTAGAACGAGAAAGCCAAGACCAACCTTCTAAGCAAACATGTTTATTGACGAAATGTTTTGATACGATATCTCTGTTTAAACAAATCGGTTTTGTGTCCGATATATCATTCGGAAAATTCAACAAAAATGTTTAGAGAGCAGCATCTTTTTAGTCTGCAGTATTTGCAAGACTTTGTCAAATCCGTTCAACGTATAGGTTTCACACTAGCTTCTGAGATAGGACAGCCATTTTTTTAAAATTCAAGCTATCTAGTCAAACCAAACCATGGAATTGTTCCCTTTGGATCCGAGGTCCGCCAAAAAACTGGGATTTACTATTAATCTTAGGATGCTTACTTTGAGTCGCAGTTCTGGCAGAGAAATACTTATGCCAGAGAAGCGCTTATCGTCATTTTGAATAAATCCGAACTGAATATTAATAACTTATACAAATCTTACCTTCTACGAAGAGCTTACTAGTGGCCGCGAATCTGGAAATTCTTTAGTCATATTGACATGTACCTTCTGTCGATTTCCCTAATACATTTTCCGTTATAAAAATCAGGGCTTCGGGCATTGGTCTCACGTCGGGGCAAAACAAAGTCTCACAGGAAAACATTAAATTTGGGAAGCTGTAATCTCAATTGAATATGATAATGGGGAACATTGAGCAGCTTTTTTAGACGGCTCAGTGCTGTTGAGCGGAAAATATGTTCATGTTTACAAACGGTTAAGACCTAATCACGGTTCACAGTAGGCACCCACCTGTCTTGTGAATGAACTCTGGTGATCGATTCATGGCTGCTTTCGTTGAGCGCTCAGGACCTTATTGGATAACGAATGCTTATCGATTAGCAATTCTAGCGAATAAATTAGGTTGTCCGTTTACGTCTCCTGGCTTAAAATCTATATTCGATTGCCAGAAAATGGGGTGCTTAAATACGCCTGTGCTAAATACTAGCTTGCACATATTTTTAAGTAAAAATATCGTAATCTTGCAAAACAAAACCGCATGCTTGAATTTCGTTAATACCTTCGAAAATCACCAAAGTGATTTGCTCCTTCTTCAAAGGTGCTTCGCGTTTGGTTTTGCTGCCCTCGGACACAGAACAGCTGTCTGATGCACTTAAACTCTGCTCAAACTGGAACTTGGGCGTTGTCCCACAGGGTGGAAATACCAGCCTTTATGGCAGCGGCGTCCCCGTCTTCGACGAGGTTATTGTGTCTACTCGGAGAATGAACAGAATTTTGGATATCGACGCAGATTCCGGTAGGCTGTGTTAAATTCTCCTTGTTGTTATCGCGTTTTTACATATCCTTAGCTCACAGCCGGCAACAATAAAGATGGGAAAACTTGCAGTTACTGATAAGGATATTATCAAGGCTAATAAATCTTGCCGGCGTTATATTTCAGCACGAGAAAAAAATAATTTAAACTGACAATTCAGATTTGTGTGGACAGTAGACTTGTGGACAGGTATCATCCGGGCAGTAGTTGTAGTTAGGGTAATATAATAATCAAACCAAATACCAGTTTGTAGGAAAGGAAGAAGGCACCTGTGGGGCGAATATTTTGTGCACAGAGCTCTCAGTTGCTGTGGTTACTGGCGAAGCTAGGGCTGGTGTTGCCTGCATCCAGTTGTGCCTGAGAGAGAGTGAAACAGCGGCGACAGCTGCTTTTGCATGCTTGTGGAGTAAGTTCAAATGGTGTTCAGCTGATGTCTTGCATTACCCGGGAGAGGTGTCGTGTACAGTGGCTCCTGCTGCGTCCGCTAAAGAGCGGCATGTTCACATGGACCCG